CCAGGCGGGGGTTGAAGATCTCCAGAGAAGGAGACTCCACAGCCCCCCTGGGCAGCCTGGGCCAGTAAATACCCCCAGGGATGGGGACTTGACCCCTTCCCTGGGCAGCCTGTAACCAGTGCTTGGTAAATAAGGAAAACCACTGCTTTTAAGAATTTTGTTGATGGGGGAGTTTATTGTGGAGTGGGTAACTACATCCGTTTCTTCCATTTGCAGAAGGATGTTCCAGATGGGCTGAAGGAGCTCTCCGACGGCTCGGAGGAGAGCAGCGATGCCCAGTCCGACTCCCAGAGCTCCGAGAACAGCAGCAGCAGCAGCAGCAGCAGCGACAGGTGCAGTAACAAAGATGGGAAGAAAAGCAGATGGAAAAGGAAAGGTAATTTTCCTTTTCAGGAGTGATGGTTTTAACACGGTCTGTGTGTGTGTGTGAAGGACTCGGAGGTTTTTATCCATCACGTCTGTTGCCTTCTGAAGACAGGCTGTTGTGGTAGCCTGAGATCTGCCGTTGCCATTTGTGCTCCTGGGTTGAACGGGTGACACAAGTGCTGATTTACTGTTGGGGGAACCGAGGGTGAGAAGTGCCTGTAATTAAGTGTCTGTATTTAAGGCCCGGACACCAGTCACAGACCGGCACGCTGCGCTTTGCACCCAGGAACTGTGAACCTGTTTCTTCCAGGTTTCCTCTGCCATCCCCCAGCTCTCCCAGGAAGATTGCGCCTTTCACTGCTGGCCCCTTTGGATGCTTTTGGGTACAACGCTGACTAGGAGTGAGCACAGGATCTCTGAGGTTAAAGCTGGTTATGGGACCTGACGGGTCCTGTAGGGCTTGGGCTTGAGCCACTGCGCTCTTTTCCTCTGTCCTGTTCTGGGCTCCTTTCCCTCATAAACCAGGCGGGGTTTGGTTATTCGATACTGATGAACATGAAATCATTTACAGCCTTCGCTAATGCAGCAAAGTGCTGGTTTTTGCTCCGCTGCTGTATCTGTATATGCTGAGGTCGGATGGTTCAAGGGTGTTTCGAGGCGGTCTGGTAGATGCTGGATTTTCTGCAGGAGTAGCAAGCGGAGGAGATAGTGGATTCACTCTCATTTTGAATCCTGATGCTTTTGCTGCTCCGAGGAGGCAATGCACCTGGCCAGGTACTGCCGCATCGTGCCATCTTCGGGAACAGCGGAAACCGGCACCTCTCCGCCAGTCGTAATATTTACATCCTGTATGAGCAATAAACTGAAGTTCCCGTCTTGCCTGCCTCTAGTTTCAGCACCCGTTCGTTTGACCAATGTTGTCTGAATTCTTTCCTCCTTCGAAATTCTGCTCAGGTATCTGCTTAGATGCTGTGAGCTGAATTAGTAAGAAAAAGCCGTAATAAAATGTGAGGGTGCGACGTAGGTTGTTCTCCAAGCTGGGGAGAGTCTGTTCACTGCGGTGTTGTTATTCTTGATGCTAAAATCAGCGTGCTTCCTAACTCAGAGCTTTGTGAAGGAGCACGAAGCCTCCCCCTTAGGCAGAGGTAGCAGGCTGCAGCTCTGGGTGTCCTGGAGAGCTGTCGAGGCTGTGACCTTACCCTTCAATCCCAACCTTTCCTTTTTTCCCTTCCTCCTCAGTCATGCGCAGAATTTCTTGGCTGAAATGAAACGTTATCTCAAGCTTATTTCCAATGCAGGAGGACACCTGAGTGGACGCGAGTGGGAGGTTTTCTGTAGTGGTTAAGGACTTGCAACAACCGGCGGGGTCTGGCGAAAGCCTTCCCTCCGTGGGACGCTTTACGGTGGGGAGTCACTGAATGAGAACGTGCTCTTCCCGTACGGGTGCGGGCGGCTCCCGTGGCCCGGCCCCCCCCTGCAGCTTTCCCTGCAGCCACAGTGCAAATCACAGAAGTAGGAGTGTTGTGTAGAATTTTAAGCACTTAAAGTGCAGCGAAAGAGCAAACTGTTCAAAACACTTAGGAGTAAAGCCTGACTCCAAATGCAGCCTTCGGAAGGACGGCTAATGAAGGGCTGGCCAAACATTGTTGTTTCTAACAAAATATTTGGTCAGTGCGGGGCTTTTTGGCTGTTTTGCCTACACCTCCAGTGTTATTATGTAAAAACCTGCAAGGGAGCTCGCAGAACACGTATCTTTTAGTGAGATCTTTATGTAGAAACACGCGTGTTCATTTTATATGAAAGTTCTATATACTGCATTATGGAATGGCTGCAAAGGCGGGAGGGGGTGTGTGGTTTAGGAACCCAAGCAAGAAGGAAAGGGGATCTGACCCTGAAACAGCTGGCAAAAGGTACCCAGAACTCAAAGGCAGTGCGAGGGTAGGGGTGTCAGTGGAAATACAAAGAAGGAATTTTGCTCCCCTCTGCCGTCTGGCACTGATGGTTTTTCTTAGGAGTGGTGTTTTGACCTTGGGTTGGACTGGATGGCCTCTAGGGGTCCCTTCCAACCCAAACCATTCTATGATTCAGTGATAAAGGTCATCTTTTCGTAGGTTTTAATGCACTGAGAGTCATGAAATTGCAGTGATTACTAAATTAGAAACGATCAGTAAATGAGAAAAGTAATTCCAGTCCCTAGTGCTACCGAGTGTTTTCCTTCTGTTCACGTGCCCGCCCTCGAGGACTGTGTTCCTTTGGGTGAGCAACTCGTAATTATTAATGAACGTCCACTTAGTGTCACACCAAGGCGTTGCCAGCCCTGCGGGGGAATGGCTTTCTCCTGATGCTTCCCTGTAAGAAGCGTGTGAAAAACAACGGGCTGGTTTGCTAAAGCAGGGATGGCATTTCTGGGCAGTGGATTTTTGGAGCTGCAGAGGCATGGAGCTGCCTCTGGACTAAGTGGAGCCTTCAGCTGCCTGGATCTCACCCGCACCGGCAGGGTACGGCGGGAGTGACAACCCGAAGCACGGCCTTTCTGTATTTACCGCTTGGATTAAATCCCGCGAGCTGGCCGGCAGCATTGCTGCGTCTATAGGCGAATCTTTCCCAGTCTGTGCATGCCACCGACTGCTGCCTGGGAAGGGCATCCCGCACGTCGGCGCCGCGGGGTCTGTAGTGAACGCAAACAGAGCTGCTCCGCCTCACTGGGTGTTCTTATCACCTCCATGCTTCATTCCTTACAGTTGGACGAGAGCGAGTAGCTGTGGTGGATCCTCACAAGCCAGCCAGATGCGGGGTGCATGCAACACCTCGGTGTTTTACCCTCCCAGGCACTGATTAACGGATGATAGGATGAGGGGGAATGGTTTGACGCTGCGCCAGGGCAGGTTTAGGTTGGACATTAGGAAAAACTTCTTCACCGAAAGGGCTGTCAGGCTCTGGAATGGGCTGCCCAGGGAGGTGGTGGAGTCCCCATCCCTGGAGGGATTTAAAAGAAGGAGAGATGAGGTGCTTAGGGCCAGGGTTTAGTGGTGGGATGGCAGGGTTAGGGTAAAGGTTGGACTCGATGATCTCAAAGGGCTTTTCCAACCAAAGTGATTCTATGATGCTATGATCACTCCCATCCCCTGTAGCTTCCACCTTTGCCGCTGCCGGCAGCGAGTTAGGTGAGGGGTTTTAGCAGCCTGGTGGTACGCAAGCAGAGGACAGGGCTGCTCACCTCGCTGCCTGCTGGGGCACCGCGTTTCAGCTCTCAGGGTGAGGCATAAAGAGAGATAAATCATCCTTGGAACCCCCCGAGCCGTAGGCCGTCTTCAGTCTGAAGTCCTGGAATGTCATGGACAGGCGGGAGGGAGTTCCCCCGAAGTGAAATGTGCCTTCATCCTGGGGACGGGTCCCAGGCAGGGGCGCGCGGTCCGTCAGAGCACGCCGTCGGGTGGCTCCTGGGGGGTGGAAGTCCAAACATATCTTTAACAAACCAACCAAGCGGTGCTGGGTGCTGTGGGGTTGTTCCCAGGGGGCAGAAGGACGTTACCCTCGCTTCGCCCGCTGCGGCACAGCTCGGCGTCCACCTTCGTCCGCCTTGGTTCAGAGTAGGATTGAGAAATGGGCGGTCAAAATGCGCCTCTCCGTGTCGCACTGGGAAGGTAAAGTGTGGTGTTCCCGGATGTGTTTAGGTCTCGGAGGTCAGTGGCCAAAGATGAGAAATGTGAATTTCACGTTTCAGAGCATAAATCAGCCACGAGCTGCTTTCCTCTGACCATTCCCTAGTAAAATGAACATTTTTCTTCATGTACCAATGTACCGTAACGGCGTGTCCCGCTCCACGCTGCCTGCTCCAGGCAGGACCCTTTGGAAGGTGCGGGATGAGAGGCGTATAGTGACTTACTCCTTGACGTAGCTCGAGTGATGCGCTGAGCATTGCTGGGACTTCTCTTATGATTAACGAGCTGAGCTGACCAAGAGGGAAAGAACACGGGATTTATTTGAATGCTGGTTATTGGAGCTGAGGTGAAACCTCTTTTCTTTGCAGTCAGCTTTCCTTGCTTTTCCATATTAAAGTGCTTTCCTTTAAATCCCAAGTGGTAGAGGCCATCCCAAACAAGAAAAATTCGATGGACAGTAAGACACGTTTGCTCATATTGAACCATATACCAGGTTGCTTTCCTTTTCAGCATGACATTGATTTGTCTTTTTTGTTTTCTCGGGGGCTACCAAGGCTATCTAGAAGGTGACAGTAAAATAAATAATTCTTGCTGGTAGGTAGCAGAGCAGCATGTGTGTCCCTGACCAAACCTGGCCTCATGACTAGCCCTGACACGTATTTAAGCTGTGTGAATGGCTTTGAAAAGCTGCAGTTGCGACTGTGTTGAAAACAAGGATGCTCTTCCAAAGAAAACCATTTATGGAGCCTTGTTCCAGAGCAAAACCAGCCTTTGTGCACCCGCAGCAGCGCTCAACACTTGGGTGCAGCTGCTCCCACGGCGCTCGGGAACAGGGCGATGCAGCAGGACCCGTGAGGAGACCAGCAGGAGAATCAGTGCAAGGCTGTGGGGCGACGGAGCCAGGACTCACGGGCCATCTTGGGATCATGGAATCATGGAATGGTTTGGGTTGGCAAAGCCCTTGAAGCTCCCCCAGCCCAAGCGTTCCCCTACCCCTGCCATCCCACCCCCAAACCCTGGCCCTCAGCACCGCCTCTGCCCGGCTGTTAAATCCCCCCAGGGCTGGGGACTTGACCCCTTCCCTGGGCAGCCCCTTCCAGCCCCTGACAGCCCCAAGGGGAAGGAATTGTTCCCCATGGCCAACCTCACCCTGCCCTGGCACAGCTCGAGGCCATAGGTTGGCCCGAGTTCATTCCCTGCATCTTTTTTGGTTACACCGAGTCCCTTGTGAGCTCAGCGGGTGGAAATGCCCACGCACTCCGAAACACGCACGACTGGGGAATACGCAGGGGGGTGCCTGTCCTCTCTTTTATTTTATCTTCTAACAACTCCTGACAAGGTTTTGCTTATTCCTTTCCATCATATTTTGTACGTCCTCACGTTTTTGACTGTTGGTGAGCCCTGAGCTGATGTTTTCACCTGTGGCAACTCCAGGATCCTTTTCCTGAGCAGCAGTCACTATTTCAGAGTTGTTCCTCCCTTCGGTCGTTGTGTTGCCTTTCATCTTCCCCGAGTTGTGCCTGCTGGTTTCGAGTTGTGCCTGCTGGTTTCGTGCCCCTCACGCGGTATCGCCGGGTCCTTTTGCAGTTCTTTGCAATCGGGTTTAACCTTTTGTTATGCAGAATAACGTCAGCTGTGTCTCGTGGCGGCCGGCGGGTGTTGGGTGGCGTGGGTGGCAGCACGCCTCCTTGGACGCCCCCCCGGTACGGTGCCCTCCACCGCCGGGAAGCCGAGCTGGGGTTTAATCCGTTGTTAATCTGCGGGATTCAGAGACGCGCAAGGCTTACGGCAGCCTCCTTTGCTCTGTTCCCAAACCAGCCAAGGTTCTTTCTAACTGGAGTCGCACTTGATAGGCGATGCCCTCTCTGGAAGAGTCTGTTGTGGTTTCTCTCGATGGCTTTGCCGCTGGCACATTTTACCCTTTCAGGGGCTCCTTTTAATTTCTTTTAATCTCGTTTCTGTGTTTCAGCGTGGTTCTCCTTCTTACGAAGTTGAGCATTGCACTGGCACCGCATACGATGTTTTTAGACATTTCCCTGTAGAGATAAATGTTCTCTTTATGTAAAAAAGCAAAAACCAACCCCCCAAAACTACTGAGTTCAGCTGAAAATCAGAAGCTTCACACAAGAATAAAATTTTCTGGTCTCTTACACAAACGAGCATTCAAAGGCATAAATAATTGCCTGGTACTTTACTCTTTAAAAGGTTTTGATGGGGGGGGGTAGGGTTTTTTAAGCAATTTGGGTAAGACTGAAGTTTTGAGTGCACTGTACTCTTACACTCTGAGAGGCGGTGAGCGACCTTTTGCTTTCAGGCAGCGTTGTAGGCCGACGACGATGCAGTCCCACCGAAGCTGTGCTCCTGGATTCTGGTGTCACCTTCAGATGGGGGCGAACGTCGAGGTTTCCCTTTGCGGTGGGGAGGACAGGAATGCGTACGTACCTTTCTTTGCGTAGCTAAATGAGCTGCTCTCATCTATGGCTGGGTCATGCCCAGCTTTTCATCCATCAGTGCCCCCAGGTCCCTCTGGGCAGGGCTGCTCTCCATCCTTTCTTCCCCCAGCCTGTGAGGATCCCGGGGGTTGCCCCCACCCCGGTGCAGGACCCTGCCCTTGGCCTTGTTGGACCTGCTCCAGCGGCAGGAGGGGCCGTGGCGGGGAGCAGAGGTGCAGGCAGGAGCACCCGCTGCATCCAGCACGGCCGGCAGTGCCCGCTGAAGGCACGGAGGTTGCTCAGTTCGAGAACCGTGTGCTGCTGGCGCGTTCTTTCCCGATAAGCTCTCATGGCAAGAGAAGACAACGGGCTCGTGCGGCGTGGCCGTGCGTTATCCCTCTGCACGGGGACAGATTCCCCCCAAGCAGCAGCGTTGCCCTGTTCAGTGCCTGTTGATGCTGCTGCTGCGCCAGTGATTCGCTGTAGGAAGGGAGCGACCGCACCGGGGGCTTTCCCCAAGGGCTTTTTGCTGCGCTAGCCATTTCTTGAGTTTTTGTTTTGCAGCGCCTATTTCCTTGCTCCTTTCCTCTTTCTCGCCTTGCTCCGTCGGCTGTGGCAGCGGGGCTGGAGGGCAGCGGTGCCGTGCCCCTTGGGCTGCCCCCGGGTGCCACCTCTGCCACCCCGCTCGCTGGGAGGCTCCCAAGTGCTCCGGAGATCCCCGGGGACTCCCGCAGGGCCTCTTGCCCATGAGCATCTCGGTTTGGTACCCAAGAAAATAGCGTTTGGGGGATTTTTTGTTTAAAGCTAGATAGTTTAGACATGCTGCCACTCCTGTGCTCGTTAAGCTCAGTACTTCGAAGCATGTCCAACGAGCACCTTTCCAAAAGCAAAATGCACCAGAAGCAGCAATAGGAATGCCTTCTCCTCAAGCTCTTTTTTTTGGTTTTTTTCCCCCACAGTATTGGTTTTCTTCAGATTTAAAGTGAAAGCACAAAAGCCGAAGGAATCAGGCCTGTTTGGTGCACGTGAATAAGTGAATGCCATCATGTCTGATGGTAATCCTGAGTGAGTGGTGTCCTGACCACTTGGTGCGAGACACGCGGATGTTACAGGTCTGTCGGTCCATGTGTTCCGTGAGGGATCTCAGAAATACAAAGTGAGGGACAGAAACGAGAGACTTCTCTGCAAAAAAAAGTCTTTAAAAAACCAAAAGATACCCTACCCTTCCAAACACGCCTGCAAATTGATGGTGCCGGTTTCCCTTCCAGGGTGGGACTGTGGACGGGGAGGTGCGGGCAGAGGCTCCTGTGTGAAGGGCAGGGCTGGAGACTTTCGCAGCAGAGCTTGGCCAGGAGGCTGCTGTAGGGAAAATAGTTCCTGAGGGATGCTCAACGGCAACAGATTTAAATGAGTGTCTGGACTGGTTCCCCCTTTCTCAGGAAGCTTGTTTGATACGTGCTGCAGCTGTGGCAGGCAGCGGAGGAGCTGTGGAGGCACCTGAAGGGCGGGAGAGAGCCTTGGTAGGGGATTCTCAGTAAAAGCCACCCCTGAGCAGGGACCTGCTCGTTTGCTCTGGGAAATGAAACGTGGCTGAACGTGAGGCTGATGCTGTCGCTAGCTACAGACATCTGTGTCCTTGCACCGAGCCGGTCAAATAGCGCGTCCAGACTTCGGCGCACCTAGGATATCATGGGGGTTTTAGGTTTAGAAACAAGGCTTGGCTCTTGATTTTGGTCTGGTTTTGAACTGTACCTTTTCAAACTCATTGCAGCCCAGCTTAAACGAGGAGCTGGAGGGGTTGCAAAGATCGTTGTGTTCCTGCTTTTCACAGCAGGCAGTGGCTGGGAGGGGAGGAGAGGCACCATAGCTGCTCCAGCGGCGCGGAAGGCTGTAGCCTGAACCTTTAGCAGAGGTGTGAGAATCCGCGAGGGCGATGCAGCTCCCCCAGCTGCGGGAGAAGCTTCCCAAGCTTCCCGGTTTGCAGACATTCCGATCAGTCGATGGCAGGACATCGATGTACAGCAGATTGGACTTTGCTAGTTCTGGGTCTCGTCACTTTGCTGCGATAGCTCTCAGTCTTCGGTCGCTAAATAAGATGCCTCCTTTGCCTTCCCAGCTCTATTTCTTGGCTGTAACGTAGCTTCGCACCAAAATTAAATGATCCCAAACTGCTTAATGAGGGAAAATAAGGTACTGTGATGGTAAATCATCAGGGTTTCCATCCCTGGGAACATTCCAGGCCAGGTTGGACAGGGCTGTGAGCAACCTGATGTGGTTCAAGGTGTCCCTGCTCCTGCAGGGGGGTTGGGCTGGGTGGGCTCTAGGGGTCCCTTCCCACCCAAAACATTCTATGATTCTAAATGGCTAGAAAAACCTTTGCAGGAAACATTTTTAAATCCTAACATTCGTAAGGCGTCTTTCTGAGGCCGCACGCTCTAACTCACTGTCACTTCAGTCATTTCCACTAAGCAGAACCCACACTTCCATCAGTTCAAGTTTCTCAAAGTGCAACCAGCTGTGCTCAAAAGCTGACGGTCCGAGACACAAATACAAGGAGAGTTGTGCCATGAAGTCCACAGGAAAGAAAATGTTCTTTCATTTTTAGTATTTCATTGACTTCATACATCTGAAAAGATTCTTTTGGTTTCCCCCAGCGACACCTGAAGTTCCATAATCTTGCTTTGTGTAAAAACTCACTTGCAATTAATATGCAAAGAGTTGCCGTGAAAAGCATAACGAAAGGAGAAAATGCAAAGGGCTTCAGCTTGCTCCCAGCCATGGTTCATCTCCGAGTTCTGCAATCGGTGACGTTTGAAAGTGGAAGTGAATGAGTCTGCACCTTGCAGGGCTTCCTGGCAGCCACAGTTCTGACTTTGGGGGCCGAGAAGATGTGGTGCTGGTAGCTCTCCTCCTCGGTGCCTCTGTGCCATCTCTTCTACAAGAGTAGAAGAGGGTGCCCGAGCCCTGGCCCAGGCTGCCCAGGGGGGCTGTGGAGTCTCCTTCTCTGGAGATCTTCAACCCCCGCCTGGCCGCTGTCCTGTGCCCCCTGCTCTGGGTGAGCCTGCTTGGGCAGGGGGGTGGCACTGGGTGAGCTCCGGGGGGCCCTGCCAGCCCCGGCCATGCTGGGATGCTGGGATTCTGTGAAGAGCAGAAGAGTTTCTACTTCAAAACGAGTTTTATTTTTAGTTGGTTCATTTGTTTGCTCTTCTTTAAAATAACCAGAAAGGCATTAAATTCCAATTAAAAAGATTCCTTCAGCGTTGAGCTGTGTAGCATCAGCTCTGGAATGCAGCACTCCTACACGGCCGCTTCCTGGCCTGTCTGGGTGTCCATGAAACACACAAAAGCCTCCTTCCTCATTAAAAGAAAAACAATAAAAATCTACTCCCTCGAATTCAAGAACAGCCCAAATTTCAGCCAGGGTGCCCTGGGGGTTGGCTTGGGTTGTTGGCCACGTTTTCCCCTGCGTGCTGAGACAGGGCTGCCGGCATCCACCGAGCCCTCCGTAATTTGACCGATCCCGGGAGTCTCGGTGGGAAGCAGCGCTAGTGCAGGGTACAGCTTCTTTTTTTCTTTCCCAAGGATTGGGGAGGGGAGTTTTTATTGTGAGAATACGGAATCCTAATAAAAATCAATGAAGTGAATGTGAACAGGGGTAGGCAGCAGCCAGATGAGCTGCACTCCTTATTTTGCTTAGAGGCTCTGCCTTGAGCCCTTGAGGCTGCAGTTCAGCTTATCGTGACATTATTTTTGCTCATATACATATAAACCAGGAAGCGCCTTCAGATAACATCAACAGCCACTTCCTTATATGTACAAAAATAAAGTGCTCTGACAGCAGCAAAACTGACACTTTGATTTCAGAAGGGATAGAAACCTTTGTGCATTTGTAGACCCACATGGGCGTCACGCGGGGCCAATCAGGAGCACAGGGGAAGAAGTTTAAAAACAAGCCCCATGCATTGCTGCCTGTACATCTGTGCGGGAGCAGAAGGCGGGAGGAAGCCCGGAGCGGCGTTGATTGCCGAGCCTCGGAAGCAGCAGCAATGTTCACGGAGCAGCTCTATGCGATTCCCCTCGAAGGTAGGATGCGGTTCTTTCAGCTGCGGCAGATTCTCGCCTTTGGGAAGGAAGCGGGTGCTGTTCTGGCTGGGGTCCCTCTGCGCCGATCGGAGGTGGGACAGGCGCCTTCGCTTCGGCCTCGAAGCAGCTGCTCGGCTGTCGTCTTCCCAGTTTGATGATAAAAACAAAGCTTTTTTTGGATACAGTACTTGTAAAAGGAGACTGCCAAGACGCCTTGGGTTCTGTGTTGTTTTAAATCATCCTGAAACTTAAAGTGTAAGTGCCTCGCTCCTGGATGCTTTTGTCACCATTGCGCCGTCATGTCTTTTGTAGGACAACTTGCAAGTGGTTTCTTGTCATGCACTGCGTGAACGTGAAGTGTTGCTCGGGGTTGTTGTCTGTGTGCACTGCATTTGCACACCTGGGGTTGTTCCTGAGCTCGGGGTTACAAATACAGCCTGTGTTTGCACACCTGGGGTTGTTCCTGAGCTCAAGGGTACAAATACAGCCTGTGTTTGCACACCTGGGGTTGTTCCTGAGCTCGGGGGTACAAATACAGCCTGTGTTTGTGGGGTCTAGAACTAAAACACGTACAGCTTGGCAGTGTTGCTGTGACCAAGCTGCAAAGCTTCGGTTGACTGCCTGAGCTCGGGGTTACAAATACAGCCTGTGTTTGCACACCTGGGGGTGTTCCTGAGCTCGGGGTTACAAATACAGCCTGTGTTTGCACACCTGGGGTTGTTCCTGAGCTCGGGGTTACAAATACAGCCTGTGTTTGCACACCTGGGGTTGTTCCTGAGCTCGGGGTTACAAGTGCAGCCTGTGTTTGCACACCTGGGGTTGTTCCTGAGCTCGGGGTTACAAATACAGCCTGTGTTTGCACACCTGGGGTTGTTCCTGAGCTCGGGGTTACAAATACAGCCTGTGTTTGCACACCTGGGGGTGTTCCTGAGCTCGGGGTTACAAATACAGCCTGTGTTTGCACACCTGGGGTTGTCCCTGAGCTCGGGGTTACAAATACAGCCTGTGTTTGCACACCTGGGGTTGGTTGAGCTCAGGGTTACAAATACAGCCTGTGTTTGCACACCTGGGGGTGTTCCTGAGCTCGGGGTTACAAATACAGCCTGTCCTTATGGGGTCTAGAACTAAAACACGTACAGCTTGGTCGTGTTGCTGTGACCAAGCTGCAAAGCTTCGGTTGACTGGAGTGGAACCGCGGTCAGTGCCTACACCTGGCTTTGCAAGCTGGTACAAACAAATCAAAGGCGTCTGGTTCCAGTATAGAGCTGCCCAGACGTTCTTGGCTTCTGACAGTGAAAATGGCTGTCAAAATCGGATTTTCCTATAATTTCTGCCATGTCCCTGGTGTGTCCTTTCTAATCAGAGCCCTCCTGAAAGGGAAGGGTCTTCTTTAGCTTCTGTACAGACGCCTCCCGTGAGAGCCGCTGCAGTAACTGGTCTCGCCTCTAGCAAAACCCAACCTACGCTTGCTCTGCCAAAAAGGAAAAAAAAGGGGAAAAAAGATCAGATGTTAAAGTGAACTGTAAGGGGAAAGGGGGGAGCGGACGGAGCGAGATTGCCGATAATCCTTCTCCGTTAGCCAAATGTCAGCTTGCCTTGCACTTCCCACAGCAGGCACGTCCTGGGGGCGCCTCCTGGCTCCCAGGCACTCAGGATTTTGCTTGACCAGGTTAGCGTTCCAAGTTAAAAAGTAACGCTGTTTGGTAAAATGGCATTTACTGAAAATGGATTGGAAGATTTTAGTAAGGTTAAAATAGGAAATTGCCATCAACCCTTCTTAAGTGGGACAGCGAAGGAAAACATCCGGCGTAATTAAACTTCTACACGGTGTTCACTGCCAACGGCCCGTACTTGGGAAAACGGGAATCAGAAATAAAACACTGTCCTGTAGCTGCAGTTCTGTGCGGTGTCGTTTGCTATAGAGGAAAACCTTGGGAGCCCGGACACGCCGAAATACCAGTTCACGGTCGGGGGGCGTAACCTGGATTTGCTGTAGGAGCTTTGCTGTGCCGGTGGCTCTCCGTGTCCTTCATGACCACCCGTGGCCCCATCACGGCGCTGCCTTCAGCGGGTGCTTTGCTGCTGCACGCCCATGATAGCTGCCCCCAAAAAACCATTTCAAAAAAGAGCTCTGTTTGGGTTATGTCATTTTGTTTCTTCCTGCTAAAGATTTGGTAGAAATATCAGCTTTTCTAAATAGAGCCAATTCCTGCCTGTGCTCGTGACTCATGAGGAAGCTGTTTCCCGAGTATCACGTTATGCAATTTACCAAGGAATCTGCAGACACGAAGCCAAAAACGTTCCTTTTTCCTTCATTTAAGTTAGCATGTCTTCTATTTAGGCCAGCACAGCATAGTGCCCAGACTTTGAGTGAGCTCTCATTTTTCATACAGGCTCTGCAGCCTCCGAGGGCTTACTCTAGCAGTCAAGAAGTTGTGTTTCCATTACACTTCCCAGCAAGCACCATGTTTTTGAATATATTTTTAAGTAGCGTGAGCAACCGTCATTAGGCTGCGGTCAGAGGCGCTTACACGTGGCTCTGCGTTTGGTAGGCATTTTAGACAGGTAGAAAAACGGATTGTAAACTTAAAATAGAATCATAGAATGTTTTGGGTTGGAAGGGACCCCTAGAGGTCATCTAGTCCAACCCCAAATCTACAGGAGAAGATGGATTCCCGTGCATGGCTTCTCCTCAGCCCCTAAGGACCCTAGGGCTTACGACGAAACGACAGCTCCGTTTGCTGCAGGACACCTTCCGTCTGTGCTTTTGCCCTGTGAGCTTTTGCGATCCCTCCCCAGCACTTCAGCAAACTCTCGGCTTATGCCTTGGCCTGACTAAACTGCGCTCAGAGCCTGGTTTACACGGCAGCCTGCTGCTCACCACCCGCGCCCCCTCGCTGCAGAGCTCGTCCCGGCTCCCTGTCCTCTTCTGCAAGGAGGAGAGCCAGCCAGAAGCTGCAGTTACCTTCGTGTTGTCCGGAGTCGGTGGCGTCGTGCTGCCGTTTGCTGCCGGAACTGGAGAAGCCTTGGGCATCCCTGTGTCCCCAACCGAAGTGGGGAGGATGGCCGTGCCGGGGTGGTTATTGCCATAAGCACAGCGTTTGTAAGGTACTGCGTGGCCTCAAAATATTTCCACTGAAAGGCAGGGAAATGGGATTTGTAAGTCCCTAATGTGTTTTCCAGAAAACTGAGGAGTGGGCAGCCATTTAACATGGCCAGCGTTTTTCAGAAAAAGCCAGTGTTCTCAGGGACTCTCATCGCCCCGGGCAGGTGCTGTGTGGCCCCCAAAGGTGCCATCTGAGGCTCTGTCTGGCTCTGCGGGAGCTCGGCCGCTGGCGTGCGGAGCTGGGACGGGTGCTCGCCCCTCAGGGACATCCACTTGCGCTGGAGGCGTGATGAACTGGAAGGATGCAGCCAAAGAGCTGGAGTTTGAGAGCAAAGAGGAATTGAAAGCTGTTGTGTGTGGCTGCAGCTGCGCAGGGCGAGCAGAGGAGCGGCGAGACCGCTTCTGTCTCGGGCCTGAGCTTCGCTGTCCTAAAGCTTTCTGGTTGCATTCAGCAGGTTCCTCGGGTGCTTCTCTGAGCTAGAGGCTTAGGAAAATCCAGTGCATGCGTTTTTGTTAAGAGTCGCCAGGTGTACTGTGTCCAGTTCTGGGCCACCTGGCTCAAGAAAGATGAGAAACTCCTGGAGAGAGTCCAGAGGAGGGCAACAAGGCTGATGGGGGGACTGGAGCATCTCCCCTAGGAGAAAAGGCTGAGGGAGCTGGGCTTGTTCAGCCTGGAGAAGAGATGGCTGAGAGGGGATCTCATCACCACCTACAAATATCTCAAGGGTGGGGGTCACCAGGACGGAGCCAGACTCTTCCCAGTGGTGCCCAGCGCCAG